CATTATCATTGGTGACATTTATTCAATAGTTCTCCTTGGAAAGAAGCAACAACTCATTTATTAACTACAAATAATCAAGTAATATTTTTATTTTAGTACAGAACAGATAAAAATATAAATTCTTCCAAGTAGAAGATTTAGTTTATGCAACAAATTGGTGTGTAGCTAGGTCTTGCTATTTTAGTAACCTTTAATTAGCTGTGTTCTTCCAGAGGTGTGGGTAGTACTCTTGTAATGCTATTGACAGTGTTCAAGATATGAACTACAACATATTAATTTATCTTAGTATGCTTATTGTGTCCAGAGGCCTGAGTCAGAGATCAGGGCCTTATTGTTCGAAGCGTTTCACAAATATTATGTTGTTTATTACTACTGTTACATAAAGCTGCTTCTGTAACTTTGACAGTAAGGTCACAGACTGGACTTACTTAAATTGTTTGAAAAAAAGCGTCCAGAATGTGAACTCGTTTTTCTTAAGGTATATTTAGAAAAGGGTATTAGAAATGCTTGTTAACTACATGTGTACATTTCTAGAATAATTTTGCAACTGCAAGGTTTGGTTAACTTTTTTACTCGTTAGCATAAACATGAATAACTTAATCTCGCATATGTTGCAAATGGACAGATTTGAGTAAGCATTTTTGGTTTTATTTTGCTTATTAACATAGGTTCGACAGCAGTTTCCTCCTCCAATTGGTTGGACAGCCACTGAAGCTCCTACACAGGTCACTGTTGAAAACCATCCAGTTCAAGAAACCACCTTCCATGTAACCCCTCAACAACAGAATGCATTACATCATCATCACGGAAATAGCTCTCACCACCACCACCACCATCACCACCACCACCACCACCATCATGGACAGCAAGCCTTGGGTAGCCGGACCAGGCCGAGAGTCTACAATTCTCCAACAAACAGCTCCTCCACCCAGGATTCTATGGAGGTGGGCCACAGTCACCACTCCATGACATCCCTGTCTTCCTCAACTACTTCTTCCTCTACATCTTCCTCCTCTACTGGTAACCAAGGCAATCAGGCCTATCAGAACCGCCCAGTGGCTGCTAATACCTTGGACTTTGGACAAAATGGAGCTATGGACATGAATTTAACAGTCTACTCTAATCCGCGCCAAGAAACTGGCATAGCTGGACATCCAACATACCAGTTTTCTGCTAATACAGGTCCTGCTCATTACATGACTGAAGGACACCTTGCGATGAGGCAAGGAATCGATAGAGAAGAGTCTCCCATGACAGGAGTTTGTGTTCAGCAAAGTCCTGTGGCTAGCTCGTGACTAAACTGAAACTAAGTTTGTTTCTTGTGTGTTTTTATAGAAGTGGTGTTTTTCCAAAAACAAAGTGCAAAGCTGCTTGGAGCAGAAGGAGAT